TGTGCTCATTTTCCAACTTTTTTCCTAGTTTTACTTTTTTTTGTAGGAGCAAGACTAAGCAATATTATTTCATGTGGTCAAGGATTAATTCATGCTTTCAAAAACTCTGGGTCTCCCCTCCCTCAAGATTCAGCCTCTCTGTTTTCCTTTTTTCTTTTCTTTTTGTTGTTTTTTAAATTTTTTCTTTTTGTGTATATGCATATGTTAGTTTAAATGTTTTTTGTTAATTAGACCAATAAAGATAGCTTTCTAAATATTTTATGATTTTGAGAAATTATCTTCAACTTATATTTTCCAGATTCAACTCAAAGGACTCAAAGATTGTTATGGTGGTTTTCTTCTGTACGTCTAGGTGGGATAAAAGGTTCGGGAATAGTTGTACGTGTGCATATGTAGCAGGGGTGGGTTCTAAATTTTTTTACTACCGGTTCTGTGGGTGTGGCTTATTTTGTGGGTGTGGCTTGGAGGTCATGTGACTAGGTGGGCGTCAGAATCATTTCTGGAAGGTCCTCGCACTTACAACCAGTCCTCGCACTTACGACTCGACTCATTTGTTTGCTTTTAACACTGATCAACTGTAGGACGGCCCTTTGAAGCCCCGCGGCAAGAGTTTAAACAGTTTTTTTCCCTCTAGTCATCAGCTGGGACTCAGGAGGCAGCAATAGATTGGGGGTGGGACCAAACAAAAAGGTAAGAATAACGTGGGTGGGTGGGGGGGAGCGTGTGGGGGGGGAAAGAACCGGTTCGGTGATGTCAGATCGTCACTGCTACCGGTGCGCCGAATCGGGAGGAACCCACCACTGATATGTAGAGGTCAGCTGAGCAGGTCCCAATCAAATTGATTTAACTGTGTGAACTATGAAATCCTTAATTCTAAGTATAGAATATCAAAAGGTGGTGATGATGATACAATACTAGCCTAAAACTATACTAATCTATAGCACAATCAAATTTTCTGAGCCAGTTGATTAAAGTACCACAATCAATAGAAAAGAAACAATTAGATCCAGAAAGATCAATTAACACACTCTTTTTCTTCATGCCTTGATAGAAGCTTCAGTATAATGAATGTATTTTTTGAACCTCAAACATTTTTTTTAATAAAAAATTGGGTAATAAATAATCTTTTTTCCAAATTTTTTTTTTAACTAGTTAGCCAAAATTATTCGAGACATAAATTAGGTGACCTGCTATCTGAATCTGATAATTCTATGGTGATATATTCACTTTTCATGACATCCCTTGAATTCTTTTCACAAAGTATGTGGCTACTTGTCTGGCCAACATTATCAAGTTAATCTCAAATCATGAATGATTTTGTGGGACTTTAGCTGGACAATTCCTCTTCAGGTTTTGCTTTGAGAGGAATAGTCAGTGTCCTATTTCCCTTATTTGTGAAGGATCAGATTGTCACTGCATTTTTTTTATTTACCAGCTGAGCTCATTATTTCCGGACTATCAGACTTTCCGTAGCTTGCCAAGAATCCTTATCAGTAAGCTAAGCTGCGCATGTCCACCCACATTCTTTCACACTCTCTTCCCTTTCTTCTCTTGCCAAGAAAGGTCCGGCTGAGAAATAGCCGGCACGAACTTTTGCAAAAATGTAACCATTAATTTTCTTAGTTAGTGAGATGTTTTATTTTCTTTATAACAAATAAATGAGTTTAATTAGAAGATATATCTTCGGGTTTTGTTTTCTTAAAGTATGCTGGCAAGGAAAAGTCTCGATCCACTCCTCTTAATCAAGGTGCGATTATCCCAAAGCAGAATGGGATTAATCAGCGCCCTGACACAGATTTCCATTGCCTCAACCTATCAATATGGTGTGAAACTTTTGCTTCCATCCCCAACTTCTTCTGTCCTCCTCTTCAGTAATGGACATTGCTCTCTGCAGAAGACAAACCTCCTTCATGGAGCAATATCAATTATGATGCACAAGTTGGTCATTCCAGGAACAAGTTATAAAAGATAAACGTTTAATAGATTCACCAGGTAAGGTGCAATGATTAGAAAGTAATTTATGACATAATCCGTGTGCTGGTTATGCTTTAACTTCTGTTGATAATTGTAACATTACTCATTACTAAAAAAAATTCTATTCTATTCTATTCATGCAGTTTCACCTTCTCAAATGTGATGGGACAAATAGTATGATAGAGAAAGTTGGGAAAATTCGATATAGTCATTCTGGATAACTCCTATGTATGGAAAACAACTATGTTGTTTTTCTGATTACTGAATGGACATATCGTATTGAATTCAGTACGATATGACTGGCCACTGTCTTCTGTAATATTTCTTGATTTCCCAGCTTATTCTACAATCCTGATGGCTTCTTCTCTAAGCAGAATCTGACCCTGCTTAGCTTCTAAATCCAGGAAGATTGGCTAGATGGTAATGTCTGCTGAGGTAGGAAAGGGATACATTTTTATCTTCTTTGATTGATTTTTGAAGATCCTATTGCTTCTAGGCCCACATGTTCAGGACAATTTCATGTACTATATCCATAGACCCAATACATTCTATTGTTGTGAACCTTGGAAGATTAGAAAAACACAGCAACCGAATTGGACTGTATTCACTCAGCTCCCTGATGGAGGGTTTCTTAAAAATTGGGGTGATAATAGAGCATTTGAAGCAAGAAGAGACACAAAAACATCTCCAGTGATTAAAGATGTGGATGAAGATCACGGGGGCCAGTTGTTCAGCACAGGCTTTCAAGCAAGAAGGAGTTACTTCATTTAGGCCTTTCGGATCTTTTGTCTACGAAATAGACCTTAGACATTTTTTCCCAAGATCACCAGAGGTGGGGACCCCAGAGGAATGGAGATAGATGTAGGAGATTTGGGTATTGTTGGTGTATCTGAGGCGGGGGGGGGGAAGGTAGCAGTAGATCACACACCCCCACCTCAGTGATCTCCTCTCAAACCTACAGTAGAACACATTCAGCTCATCTGCCAGTTGACAATTCTCTTCAGTAAGGAGGGAGGTCTGCTGTAGCCAATGATGTTCTTCAGGCTTCTCCACACATTGGAGTACTCATATCAAATGATCTAAGTGCCAAAGTCCCACTGTAACAACATTGCCAAAAAGGCATTAAGGGTTGTAAACCTAATCTTGCGTAGCTTCTTCTCCGGTAATATTACACTACTAACCAGAGCATACAAAACATTTGCTAGATCAATTCTCGAATACAGCTCATCTGTCTGGAACCCGCACTGCATATCGGACATAAATACAATCGAGAGAGTCCAGAGATATTTTACGAGAAGAGTCCTCCATTCCTCTAACCGCAGTAAAATACCTTATGCCACCAGACTCCAAATTTTGGAGAAGACAACTTAGAACTACGCCAACTTCAGTCTGACCTAAGCATAATATATAAAATTATCTGCCACAATGTCCTTCCTGTCAATGACTACTTCAGCTTCAACCACAACAATACATGAGCACACAATAGATACAAACTTAAGGTTAACCGCTCCAAACTGGATTGCAGAAAATACGACTTCAGCAACAGAGTGGTCAATGCCTGCAATGCACTACCTGACTCTGTGGTTTGATCCCCAAACCCCCAGAATTTTAACCTTAGACTGGCTACTGTTGACCTCACCCGATCCCTAAGAGGTCTGTAAGGGGCATGCATAAGAGCACCAGCGTCCCTACTGTCCCTGTCCTGGGGTGCCACAGGGGTCGGTCCTCTCACCCCTCCTGTTCAACATTTATGAGAAGCCGCTGGGCGGGATCATCCGTGGTTTTGGGGTGGAGTTCCATCAGTACGCTGATGACACTCAGCTGTACATCTCCACCCCAGACCATCCCAATGATGCCCTTGAAGTGATGTCCCAGTGCCTGGAGGCCATGCAGGTCTGGATGGGGAGAAACAGGCTCCGACTCAATCCTTCCAAGACCGAGTGGCTGTGGCTTCCGGCGTCCCAATATAGCCAGCTGGTGCCATCACTGGCTATTGGAGGTGAGTTACTGGCCCCCACAGAGAGGGCCCGCAACTTGGGTGTCCTGCTGGATGCACGGCTATCTTTAGAAGAGCATATGACGGCCGTGGCCAGGGGGGCTTTTTATCAGGTTCGCCTGATTCACCAGTTGCGCCCCTTTCTGGATCGAGACTCCTTACGCACGGTCACTCAGGCACTCGTCACTTCCCGCCTGGACTACTGTAATGCTCTCTACATGGGGCTCCCCTTGAGGAGCACCCGGAGAATCCAACTGGTGCAGAATGCGGCTGCGGGGGGGATTATGGGAGCGATGGGGCGCTCCCATGTGACACCTCTCCTGCGCGAGCTGCAGTGGCTCCTGGTGGTCTTCCGGGTTACCACCTTTAAAGCACTCCATGGCTTAGGGCCTAGGTACTTACGGGACCGCCTTCTGCCACCGGTAGCCTCCCACCAGCCAGTACGCTCCCACAGAGAGGGACTCCTCAGGGTGCCATCGGCCAGACAATGTTGGCTCCCAGGGGGACGGCCTTCTCTGTGGCAGCACCGGTTCTTTGGAACAACCTGCCCCCGGAGATACGTAGGATCCCAGATCTCCGTGCTTTTCACCGTGCCCTTAAAACTGTTTTATTTCATCAAGCTGGGCTGGCTTGACCCACCCCTTAGATATTTTTAATTGCTAATTTGGTTTTAGTTGAGATATTTTAAATTTTATTGGGCCAATACTAGTTTAATTCTTTTAAAATTTTAAATTTTGTATGCACTGTTTTTATCTTTGGATGTGCACCGCCCTGAGTCCAGCAGGAGAAGGGCGGTATAAAAATTGAATAAAATAAAATAAATAAATAATGTTCTCTTTAATTGTATACATTTTATGTATTCAATTTATGCTATACTTATATATATTATCTAATATGTACTTGACAAATAAATAGATAAATAAAATATTGCTGACCAAGAGGCACAAAAGCAATCTTGTCCTCCTTTGCATGTTGCTACTGGGGAGAAGGATCAATGAACCAAGAATGAAAACTTCAAAAAAGATTTGCATCAGAATATGTTTATTGATATTGCACTGCACGCAAGCCGTGAGAAAGGTCCAGAAGAAGAAGACCAAAGAGGCAGTTCTTGTGAGTTGATGTTTGGAAGAGGCTGGAAGCAAACTATATTTCTGCAGAACGCGAAGACATAATGATATAAGTGGGAAGGCAACACCTTAGCATAGTGGAAAGCACTGGGAGAAACTTCAGACATCTTTAGAGAGCATGTTTGCAAATATAAGCATTGCGTATGTTGCACTGAGCATCATTCCATTGTTTAAAGCCTAAAATAGAAATAATAAGAAAATGCTAATATTATTATTTGCTATAAAGAAAATGACTTTATTTCTTCCTCAAATAAGCAGGATGGAACCACAGGAATCAGATTACGTACACTTATGCATATGTATCTGTGTATGTCTAATGGGACAAATTAGGAAAAATGTAATTTAGTTTGAATTCCATCTTTTGAACGACTAAGTCTTATCCCCTTCTGTTAAGATGTTTACCCACTTCATCCTAAAATTAGATCAAATAACTTGTCTCTGAACTAATGTTGACAATTTAGCAACTAATTTCAAATATATATCATATCCAATTGGGGAAAACATTGCAACCACAACAAGGTATCCATTGTAACATTGAAACTAATGTATTTCAAGCAAAATGGACTCTATAATCAGTTATCTAAAGAAATTAAACTAAACATTTTGGTCATATTTTAAATTTTCTTGCTTCCTTAGATCCTGAAGAAATATATTGCCACTGCTGATTGGATAGACAGACCAACTGACCTATGATTCCCCATAGGCAGAGAAAAGTTGGAAGCTCTTGGAGAAGTTCAGAGAACTTTTGAGAAGTTTGCTTACCTGTGGATCGTCGCAGTTCCACGCAGTGCTCATTGTTGCCATAGTTGTCTGGCTGGTAGTTCATCCAGGATTTGTAGTTGTAAGTGGATTCATCAGCCCATCTCCACTTCCCAGTCTGAGGAAAGGAAATGTGTTTCAGAGAATAAGAGCTTTGTCTAAAGATGGACTGGTAATATTTATCTATGATTATGAAGTGAAGTATTGAGCAGGAGTCTATAGGATTTAGGCAAGTCAATAAACATTGTGCCACTCTTGATAATGATAAATAAGGGCAGAATTAAATCAGATGATCTCACCTGACGGACATCATGGAGTCCAATCCAGACATTACTGAATTCCTGTTGATAAGTGGAGACGTGTTCAGCCACCAGAAGAGTCTCTGCTTTGGTAAGGATGGAGGCAAGGTGGGCCCCACGGCCATAGCTCTGGCACTCAATCTGAAGAAAGCCAAAAGGAATATGAGTTCTGTGATCATTTCCCACAACACCAAGATCTGTGAGACCCCCCATGTGTTGAGTTAAGCTTCATAGAATTCCAAATGTGGTCAATCCTTGTTGCAATATGAATTGAAGATTTTTAAATCTTACTGGAAGATGCTAATATTACACATCAACTTAGTTCAATTCTTTATTTGCACTTAAATGTCTTTCTTTCCAGCTCCAGCTTTAAGAGTACTTTTATTCAGAGTGTAGGTAAAGAATATATAAGTTTCAAATGCAGGATGGTGAGATATATTATTTATCGTAGCTCAGGATTTGAAGCACAGACAATCCCAATCTATTCATCACCCTACTATCTTTTTCCTAAACCTATAAATCATTAATTACACAAGATATTGACTGTCCTACCTCAGCTTCATGCCATGTCAACTTCTGATCAAAATATGCATAACAGTTTCCTTGGTTTTGCAGCCACTCCCTGGCGCAGGTGTCAGCTTCCACTGCATTGCAAGAAGGTAGTGGAAAAGAAGTTTAAAATAGAGAATGACTCGATGTTTATATAAAATGCTGAGAATGTAAGAAACATCTTTTTAGATCGGGTTGTCTAATTCAATAGTTTTTTTCACAGTGGCCAACTGGAAGAACTCAAGAAGACACCAAGTATGAAAAGAAGAGTTGGAGATCTTTCATTATGTGGTTACCATCACTTTGACATCAATGAGGCCCTTATGCTGTAAAATATCAAAGCAACTCTTGCTTCTTATACTTCTAAAAAATTGTGCAGGGTGTTGAAAGTCAGTTATGCACTCCTATCAAAATATGTCAAAGGAACTCACCTTGAAGGAAAGGACTGCTGAAGAAGATGCCAAGAAGACAAAGGCTGAAGTAGGCAAGGAGACCCATTGTCTGGCTGACCTTCAAAGAGATAAAGGAATACTAAATACAAGAAATATATTGTCTAACAGTCATCAATCCAAAGCTAAAAAGGAATCATATTCGTTTCCACTTTAAATTGAGGTTCTTATGTTGCTTTTCTCTTCCTTGACTCCTATAACACAGAGGTGGGTTTCAGCAGGTTCTGACCAGTTCTGGAGAACCGGTAGTGGAAATTTTGAGTAGTCTGGAAAACCAGTAAATACAACCTCTGACTGGCCCTGCCCCCATCTATTCTCTGCCTCCCAAGTCCCAGCTGATTGGGAGGAAATGGGGATTTTGCAATAATCTTCCCCTGGAGTGGAGTGGGAATGGAGATTTTATAGTATCTTTCCCTTGCCATGCCCACCATGCCATGCCATGCCCACCAAACCATGCCATGCCCACCAAGACACACCCACAGAACCGGTAGTAAAATTTTTTGAAACCCAACATTGCTATAATAGCTATATATTTAGTAAAGGATTGGAACCAAATGTAAGGATTGAAATAGGTGTGACATAAATTAACCATGAGCACCGTGTAAATTAGTGTGTCATAAATTAACCATGAGCACCATGTAGCAGGTGTAGTGAGCAAAGAATAAAATAGGGAAAGGAAACTTCAGTTCTGAAGGTCAAGCTTGTCACTTGTTTTAAAAGTTGTGAGAGGAGCCAAGTCAAAATTGAGTTATTGTATGAGATAGGCAGCCATATAAGTCCTCCAAATAAATGCATGAATAAATAAAACTAGGATTTCATTTCATTGATATTAACATTAAATTAAAATTACTCAAGATGACAGTAGCTACAACCTTGACTGGTCATGAAAAACTAAGTAGTATTAGACCTGGTTACTTTTTGGATGGAACCTGGCAGGAAATTGCAAGATGGTATATGAGATCAAAAGTCAAAGAATTATCTGGAAAACCATAGAGGTGAACCACTTCTCTAAATGACATGTATCCAGGTTGATCTAGATGGCAACTTCTACTTGACCTTGACTGATCTGGAAAAACTTGATGGATTGATAGCTTAAAAGAAGAGAAGACCATTCAGTCTCTTAGACAGAAAGGTTAAAAGAAGACAATGGAAAAATGCTTTTGTACTGAAGCCAAGAAAGAAAAGATGCCTCATTACTCATATAATCACAAGAAGAGCTCAAACGTTACCTTTTTATAAGTTATATCAGGGTTCCCCAGTCTTACAAATTAATGGGAGTTCTGCAGCAATGGCTAAAACTGTGTTTCTCATTCTTATATTTAAGGGTTCTCAGAAATCCTTGTTTATAATCCACTAACATTATTTTGCCTGAAAGCCTTTCTATAGTTTTATACTTTCTACCGCTTAGAAGAAGCCCTCTTAGTAAAAATCTTATTTCTCCAGCAGCTTACCTTGGGATGGTCTTCTCTTTCTGAATGAACAGAAGTGGTGGACAGTCAAGTTGGGATCCCTCTCAGATGCTCTCTTGCCTTCTGAGCAATGGTTTTATAGAGCCCAAGACAGATATGGTGCAAGATCAATGACCCAAGTCCTTCAGGGAAATCCTGGTCTGTCCTTTTCACTTTTGCGTAACTAAAAATGAAAGAGGTGTGAAGTAATTTGTGAACCCAATCATCAGAAGCAATGAAGAAAGGGCATTGTGATTTATTTGGAGAATGTGCACGCAGCTGAAACCATTGGTCTGACTTTGTATCCTTGAGAAAGGATGGAGACAAATGGAGACAATCAATTCTGCAATGAAAACATGTGTTCATTTTCCTCATTCCATTGACTTTAAATGCCAGAGAGTAGCCTGGTTCAACCCAAGAGTTTCCTGTTCTGTGGCAAAATTCTGTTTTCTACAGTGTCCTTGCTTAATACATACATACATACATACATACATATTGCATAAAACATCTTTTATTTCTCCTACTTTTCTAATTATAATATTTATACAATTTTAGAAGAAGTATCTGGAAGAATGGGTGGAAGTGGAGAATAGAATTCAGGATTATAATAGATTATGAAGGTAAAACATCTCCATAGGCTCATATTATTGTGAGTTGATTTTTTTCTTTTTTTTTTTTGAATATATCTTTTATTGATACATTTTTTTATAAACATAAAAAGTTCCATATTTATCTGAACAGCATGTTGTCTGGGCACAGTTAGTTTCAAATAGCAATACTTCAATAATCATAATAATCATAATACATAAACATGTCAATATTAATCACAAAGTAATAATGCAATTAGTTTTTCCATCTTGCAAAATTTTCAAAACAAATTTTTAAAATTATCTTTTTACTGTCTTTAGTTTCTAACCTCTGTTTCGGAGGTGAGTTTCAGCAGGTTCTGACCAGTTCTGGAGAACCGGTAGTGGAAATTTTGAGTAGTTTGGAGAACAGGTAGTAAAATTCTGACTGGCCCTGTCCCCATCTATTCTCTGCCTCTCAAGTCCCAGCTGATCGAGAGGAAATTGGGATTTTGCAGTAATCTTACCCTGGATTGGGGAGGGAATGGAGATTTTACAGTATCCTTCCCCTGCCATGTCCACCAAGCCATACCCATCAAGCCATGCCATACCCACCAAGCCATGCCCACAGAACCGGTAGTAAAAAAATTTGAAACCCACCACTGCTCTGTTTCTGTTAGTTAGCTATTGGTAAAACAAATCCCATGTTAAGGAGTATTCTGTTTCTTCCTTTTCTTTTCTTTTAAATGTTAATCTATCCATCTCAGCACATTCTAATATTTTTTTATAACACTTTCCACTTTCCTCTCTTCATTTTTTCATTGTTGTGTAAACAAAATTCTTGCTGCCATTAATACATGTAAAATTAAGTATGTATTCCCTTTACTATAGTGTTCTGGTTGATTTTTCTACTCAGGTGAAAATATGTGTTAAGGTCCACCAATATGGCAGCTGTAGACGTGCTACTCTGCTATTTGAACATTTAAAAGGAAAATAAAAGATCAAAATGCATGCTATCTGGAGACCTTTACAATTCCTGGAAGGAAACAAAGGAAGCCACTGAATGTCAGGCAGCCATTTTTGAACAAATTGAAGGCATGGAAGTATTGTAGACCATTTGCAATACATGATTGTTCTCCAGCTGCTCTTGACATATCACACCACACTCCTTTGTATGGTGTTGCTCCTATCCTGCCTATTCAGTTGGAAACTCTGAAACTCTTGCAGAAACTCAACATGTTATCAGAATGGTGGATTGTAGCAACATGATGGTTGGTTTAGAAAGATGCCCAGCTACGTGAGAAGAAAAAAAGATTATAATACATGATAGTACAGAGCAGGGATCTTTGTTGCTAACTTTGGTCATTATCTCTTCATTTCATTCATCTAGGCTCTGTCTATAGCAGAACATACATGTTTGAATACAACCAAGCTCATTAATAACCTGTTTCCCCAAAAATACGACCTACCATGAAAGTAAGCCCTAGCTTGATTTTTACATGTGTGCCCAATATAAGCCCTACCCCCAAAATAAGCCCTAATTAAGATTCCGCCCACTCCAGAGTGCACGGGTAAAAATTAAGCTATGGGGTGGTGGTCGAGCTGCCCTATTACTTACCTCTGGACAGTTGTAGTCAGGCCTTGCAAACCCCAACACCTGCCTCGCCAGCCCATTTCTTTTGCAGCCAGCAAGGTTGGGAAGGCTTTCCTGGAGATCTCTGTAGCTGCTAACAGAGCTCCAGATCGATCTGGAGCTCTGTTATCGCCTGCAGAGGCCTTCAGGAAAGCCTTGCTGGCCACAAAAGAAGAAGTCCCTGAAGGCCTCTGATAGCCAAAAGGAGGCCGGGGTGTGACGCGCGCAAGTGAGGTTAGTCAGTGGATGATATCCTCTGAAAATAAGACCTGGTACCTTTTTTGGTGGCAAAAAAAAGATAAGACAGGGTCTTATTTTCGGGGAAACACGAGTAGTTTTTTTTGCAACACATCATTAAGGTCCAGATAGAAGAATAGAGTTCATTAAGGTTGTTAATTGTTCCAATATAAAGTCTGCCTCTTAAAAGTTTCTGTCTTCCATGTGGGGAAAGGAAAAAAAGGAAGGAAAAACTGTGACTTTTCTGAAAGAAGCTGAAGGAGAAAGGCCAAGGTCATTTCCTCGCTTGAAACACAGAGTATCTTGTAAATCTAAATGCCATCATTGAGACAAAGCCCATTCTTATTACTCATCACTCAGCTAAATGAGGGTTGAAATGCCTCGTGGCATTTTCCCCACTAAGGTTCATATATCCCCAACCACCATTATATTGAGGATTTAGTGAAGGTGTCAACCTGGTGAGGAAGTAACCTTGAAGGTCCTGTAGGTCACTAATGGTGACTCATCCAATGAAAGGAAAGCAGAAGAAGGAACAAATATGAATAAAGAAGGAATTTTCAGCTAATACCCTTTATGGTGTCCAAAAGTGGTGTCCAAGGTCCCAATGGCCAGGACTTCAGATATTGTCACCACTGGTGGAATGGAGAAGTTAGTAAGATGGAAACGTTACCAGTTCACCTCATGTAACTGGACACCAAGTCTTAGAATGTAAGCTAGAGTTCTCCTTTTGCAAGACAATTCAGATGTCCTCAGTGTTTTCAAAGCATCCATTGGGCTCTTAACTATGTTCTGGTGCACTGAGGCAGACAAATCAGTCTAAGCAGACAGACAAATTTATCTTATGGGCCCTAATCCAATGATTGCCTCCAGACATTTATTCAGGGTTTCTTCCCCCTCCTTGAAAACATAGCCATGGTCTAGATGTTTCTTATTCATTTCAAGTACCATCCTTTTGGTAAACTCACAAGATTCATTTTTCTTGCCATATACAGGTATATATATCTGAACTAGACTGTGTTGTTTCTCTGTGTCATATAATATTATATGTGGGTATATGCATAATTCTGAATTTATCTGTATTTATTTATTTTTTCTATTATATTATGTAGTGTATATTGGAGGTGATGACCCTTTGAGAGATGTATGCAACAAAATTTCACTTCAATGTTATTTGCCGACTAGTGTACATTCAATATGACAACAAAGTTATTATTCTGTTCTGTTCTGTTCTTTTTTTCTTTTTTAAATTTGTTTTATTGAATTTTTACAAACAATCATTATTCAATTCTTGTGCATGACTGTGACCATTTACATATCATCACACTAATATTCACCTATACTCACTCTATATTTTTTACTAAATCTACATTCTATTATTTTCCTTTTTTTTCTATTTTTGATCCAATTATCTGAGTAAAAATCTGAGTCCATCAATCCTTTCAATTCAAGTGTCATTTTGTCTATCTCGGCACAATCCAAAATATTTTTAATTATTAAATCTTCCGAGGGTATATTTGCGCTTCTCCAACATTGCGCAAAGGCCAATCTTGCCGCAGTTGTCATGTGTAAAATAATATATGTTGGGGGTTTTTTGTATTTCCTTTTCATTATTCCTAGAAGAAATAATTCTGGTGTGTATTCTATCTGGAAGGCTGTTACTACTTGTATCCAACTATGTAATTTCATCCAATATTTTTTTGTTTCGGAGCATAACCACCATGTATGAAAGAAGGTACCTTGCTTTTGTCCACATTTCCAACAGTTGCTGTTCTGTTCTTATTATGTAGCTGGAATATCCTGTTTGAAGAAATCAGTGTGCTATTATTTCAAGTAGGGCTTCTACTCTCTCAGATCTTTTCAATTTCGTGATGCTGTTTTTAAAGGGCATTGGATGCTCCAAAGCAGGGATGTTACTCAAGGCCCAGGGCCCAGATCTGGCCTGCAGGTTGCTTAGATTTGGCCCACCGGACCGCCCTAGAAACAGCGAAGGACTGGCCTGCAGTGCCTTTGCCAGTGAAAATGGAGCTCAGGAAGGCTGTGTGCAGCACTCCCAAGCTCCGTTTTCACTAGCAGAGGGTGTCAGCCTTGGAAGCCATATTAAGCCGGAAGTTTCAATGCTGCCATCTCCTCACGTGTGGGAAAATAGGAGGGGGGATTTAGGAGAGGGGAGTTAGTAGACATAATAACAGTTTTTCATACCGGTCAAGGTCAGGGCGGTCCAGCATCTAGAGGAGGAGTGGTCAAGGACTAGGCTGAGGCAAAACTGACGGTGATTGGAGCATGTGACCAAAAGAGGAGAAAGGGGTTGGTTTTGGGAGCTTTGTATTAGTGAAGAAAAGCCCGGGTTTTTCAGATTCGGGATTTCCCAGATGTGCAAGTTTACCTATTGCTAGTAAAGAGAACTTTGGAAAATGCCTGCTTCCGCGTCTTTACTGGGAGTCAGGGGGTTTCTGGAACACTGACATTATCCTGAATCTGAAAAACTCGGGGTTTCCTTCACCTGGGTTGCAGGAGGCCACTGCAGCCAAAATGGAGTTCAGGAGCCTGTTTTCGCTGGCAGACTGCTCGGGTCACCACAGGCATCCCTGACATGAGTGATGGTGAGCTGGCCTCATCCACCCTGGCCGTGCCCCACCCTGGGCCTCCCAAAGTCAAACACAACCCTGATGTGGCTCTCAATGAAATTGAGTTTCACACCCATACTCCAGAGAATCTTTAGTATATTTTGGATATGTGGAGATGGGCTTGTTCTATTTTAATTTAATCTTTATACATTTCTCTATAAAGTGCTGAGAAGAGATATAATGTGTAAAGAAGTTGACATGATGTTGAAGCTGAAACCAATAATTTGGAATTTATCTAAACATGGCAAACATGGTACATACTTCCCTCATCTCATTTGGGCAGGTCAGACGGCAGAAATAAGGTTGCAGTTTTCAAAAGAACCTAAAGCATAACTTGACCATTTGCAAAATACTTTACTAAATGGTCAGGTTATGCTTTAGGTTCTTTTAAAAACTGCAACCTTACTGCATCCTTATTGCTGCCATCTGACCCAAATGAGATGAGGGAAGTAGTACCATAGAGAAAGTTGGGATAATTAAATAAAAATCAAGACGGATTCTGAAGAATTACTGTAAATGGACACAACTATGTGGGGAATAGAATAGAATAGAATAGAATAGAATAGAATAGAATAGAATAGAATAGAATAGAATTCTTTATTGGCCAAGTGTGATTGGACACACAAGGAATTTGTCTTTGGTGCATATGCTCTCAGTGTACATAAAAGAAAAGATACATTCATCAAGAATCATAAGGTACAACACTTAATGATAGTCATAGGGTACAAATAAACAATCAGGAAACAATATCAATATAAATCATAAGGATACAAGCAACAAAGTTACAGTCCTGCAGTCGTAAGTGGAAGGAGATGGGTGGTGGGAACAATGAGAAGATTAATAGTAATAGTAATGCAGACTTAGTGAATAGTTTGACAATGTTGAGGGAATTATTTGTTTAGCAGAGTGATGGCATTCGGGAAAAAACTGTTCCTGTGTCTAGTTGTTCTGGTGTGCAGTGCTCTATAGTGTCATTTTGAGGGTAGGAGTTGAAACAGTTTTCTGGTTAAAGTTATGAATGTAGCTGGTCATTGTCTTCTTCTGTAATGTATCTTCATTTCTGACTTCAATGTATAATACTGATGGCTACCCATTCAAGAACTAATCACCTTGGAACCTGCTTAGCTCCTGAGTTTAGACAGAGTGTCTAGATGACAATATCTGCTGAAGTAGGATAGGAAAGGTTAAAGTTTATCTTCTTTAGTTGATTTTTAAAGTGTTCTGCCCCAGCTATGGATCCCAAAGAATGTAGCACACACAAACTCCAAACAAAACTCAGTTTACTTCAAAACACAGTCTTTTGCAAATGCAGGCTGTTATTAAAACGTTCTTAACAACCTGCCAGAAATTCCACAGATAAAATAGAGTCTTATTAGAGTTGGCAGAAAGCCCAGAAACCAGGTTTGCAGAGAAAATCCAAACTCAATGATCAGCGAACGAACGTTGTTTCCTGCAGCTTTTTACAAGCTGTGTGCAAATTTAAATAGGCTAAGGGAGTGGCCAATTAGCCCCAAGCCTTACTCTCGAGGAGACCTCCTCCTGAGTAACCACTCCTGCCTTTTGGCAACTCTGTGTGCTTGTGCATTGAGAAGAGGCTCCTCCACTTCATCCTCTTCACTTAAAGGAGCCTCTGGAGCTTCTGAAGGCCCTGGCTGAATTCCTGCCTCTGGCACCACATCTTCTTCAGCCTCCTTGCTGTCCGACTTGAGTGCCGGCTGCACAGGCTCCTGGCATGACACCACACCAGCCTCCTCGTTGTCGGGATCAGCAACAATCTGCACAGGCCGCTGGCGGGCCACAACATAAAGTCCCTGTTACTATTAGGCTCATCTGCATATCTTGCAATTCATTTATTATCTGATAAAGAGGGCAATTTTTCATTAAAGAGAAGCAATACACTAATCACTAAGGCAGAAGTGAGCAACAAGATGGCTATGTGTCTCAATCATCCAGGCCATGATTGTCCCAAAGATGCTTTTTCAAGAGGCAACTAGACTTTCTGGTTTTTCTTTGAAGTCTTTTCACCTCTCATCCAAGAAGCTTCTTAAGCGCTGACTGGATGGTAGGCAATAGAAGTGGTGAAGAAGCTTCTTGGATGAGAAGTGAAATGTCTTCAAAGAAAAACCAGAAAGTCCAGTTGCCTCTTTAAAAAGCACCTTTGGAACCAGATGGCCTTGGAAGGTTCCTTTAAGGGAGCCATGGTGGTGCAGTGGTTAGAGTGCAGTACTGCAGGCTCCTGCTGATCACCGGCTGCCAGCAGTTTGGCAGATTGAATCTCACCAGGCTCAAGGTTGACTCAACCTTCCATCCTTCCAAGGTCGGTAAAAATGAGGACCCAGATTGTTGGGGGCAAGATGCTGACTCTTAGAGGGGGCTGTAAAGCACCATGAAGCAGGATATAAGTCTAAGTGCTATTGCTATTAATGTCCAGTTTTCTATATCTCAGCTTGACTTTGTTAGATTCATTTAATTTAAGTCAAACTAAATGGGAAACTGTCAGGTTGCACTCCAAAGATATGAGGGAACCTTGGTGCTGTCTGAGCTTGCTTGTTTTCTTGCAGACCTTTTCATTACCCTAACTAGATAACATCATCAGAGTTAATAAGGAATGCTGTTTGCTGTCAGTTTATATTCTGGTGATTTGCCTGCCTGTGTGGCAGGGGTGAAATCCAGGAGTTTCTGACAGGTTCTGGAGAACTGGTAGCGGAATTTTTGAGCAGTTCAGAGAACTGGTAGCAGAAATTTTGAGTACTTCAAATACCACCTCTAGCTGGCCCCAGAATGGGGTGGGAATGGGGATTTTGCAATATCCTTTCTTCAGGAGTGGGGAGGGAATGGAGATTTTGTAGTATCCTTCCCCTGGAGTGAGGATGGAATGGAGATTTTGCAGTATCCTTCCCCTGTCATGCCCCCCAAGCCATGCCCACCAAGCCACACCACACCACACCATGCCTACCAAGCCACGCCCACAGAACCGGTAGTAAAATAATTTGGATTTCACCACTGCTGTGTGGGTGGGAGAGATTCTTGGTTGGGCTGTTTACTGATGGCTCTTTGGCAGCTTCTTGATTGGGGTATTGCTTCCTTGATTGTTGGGCTGAAGTTGACCTTGGAGTAAATCTATGCTGATCTGAGTGCTGACTACTGGTAGAGAAGTGCTGGAATCCTTTTCTCTTTTGGGCTGGTTCATTGTCTCTTTTGCATAGTTTATAAATGTTGTTAATGTCTACTAACAATCTCCAAAGGCAATTCGTAGCATCTTTAGAGGCTCACTAAACGTTTATCAGGCACTAGAAACATTTTAGGGTAAAAAAATGGGTGATGATAGCGACTCTTTCTTTTATTTCACAATATCATAGGAAAAGATGGAAGAAAATCTACCCAATTAACAAATATTAATCTTGCAATGCAAGAAACTTTTGTCAAAGCTTTTGGGTTACCTGTGGACTTCAAAATGCAAAACAAAACAAAATTCCAGATATAAGGAAAGTCCGTGGCTTTAATAAAATAGATATGTAGAAGATGAAATTCAGGCAGGAAGACATTGGATAAATGACCAACAAATATTAACTGTACATCTTCACAACAAAGAAAGATGAACAAAACATGTCTGCCTTTGCATGTTGTTATTGGGGAAGAGGATAAATAAACTGTCAGGGTAATGATGATTTAAAGCTGACCAGCCAATGTAAGGCTAAGGTAACTGTAAAGCTGCTGAAATGTAAGGCTGATGCAATGAGAATGAATCAGCATTGGTATAGCCAGTTTAAGACTCTGAAGGAGTCCATACAAGTCTTTTATATATTTATATATATATTTATATTTATTAAATTTTTATACCGCCCCCTTTCCCGAAGGACTCTTTAAGAGGTGTTTATAAGTTTCAGCCAGGAGGGGGCGTATTCTCCCTCCTTGTGTCAAGTATTCATTGCTGAGTTCTCAGTCTAGAGTTAAGAGGAAGTTTGATTATTTGTCAGGTGTTTACCAACCCTGTATATTTCTGTATATGTCTTGTATATAAACCACTGTTAAATGTCTAAGTCTCTGTATGCTGTGTTTTGCTCCTGGGTTGTCTCCTAAAAGTAATCACACTTTGACATAAACCAAGAATGACAATTTCAGAAAAGATTTGCTTCAGAATATTTTTATTGATATTGTACTGTGCACAAGTCATGAGAAAAGTTCAGAAGAACCAAAGAGGCAGTTCTTGTGTGTTCAGATTTTGAAGAAAATGGAAGAGAAGAACTTTATCTCTATGGAATGTGAGGAGGTAATGAGATAAGTGAGAAGGCAGCCCATCACATCAGTATCCTGGGAAATACAGGGAGAAGCTTCAGTCATCTTTACAACTCATGTTTGCAGATGTAAGCATTACGTGTGTTGCATTGAATGTCGTTCCATAGTTTAAAGCCTAAAATAGAAATGAGAAAATTGCTATTATTATTTGCTGCAAAAAAAGGGCTTTTTTCTTTCTTTCTCCAAAGCGTACGATTCAGAAGAATGAAAATACATTCCAATATACATTTATTGTAGATTGTCCTCAACTTACAATCATTTGCTTAGTGACTGTTTGAAGTTACAACAGCACTGAAAAAAGGGGCTTATCACCATTTTTCACACTTACAACCACTGCAGCATCCCCATGGTCACACAACCAAAACTTGGATGTTTGACAATTGGTTCATATTTATGGATAGCTTCAGTGTCCCAGGGTCATGTGGTCACCTATTATGACCATTTGATAAGTAAAGTCAAGCCAAATTCACTTAACAACCATGTTACTAACTTAACAACTACAGTAATTCGCTTAACAACTGTCTCACTTAGCAAAAGAAACTTTGGGCTCAATTATGGTCATAAGTCAAGGACTATCTGCACTATATATGTCTGTGTTTGGAACAAATTAGGAAAGTTGCAGTTTGGTTTCAATTCCACCTTTTGAATTTATAGGAACATTTGAGTCTTATATGGCACTCTATGAAGATGTTTACTTACTTCATCCTAAAATTAGATCAAATAATTTCCTCTCTGAAATAATGTTGAAAAAGGATTAGACACAATTTAGCAACCAATTTCAACTCTATATCATTTAAAATTGGAGAAAAAATTGCAACCATCGAAAGGTATCCATTGCAACATTGAAACTAAAGTCTTTAAGAGAAAATAGACTCCATTCTGTTTTCTAATGGAATTCAACTATGCACTTTGGTCATGCTATAAGTTTTCTTGTCTCTAGCTTTCTTAGATCCTGAAGAAATATATTGCTGAGCTATGGTTCTCCATAGGCTGAGAGAAGTTGGAAACTCTTGGAGAAGTTCAGAGAAGTTCTGGGAGGTTTAATTACCTGTGGATCGTCGCAGCTCCACACAGTGCTCATTTTTGTCGTAGTTATCTGGCTGGTAGTTCATCCAGGATTTGTAGTTGTAAGTGGATTCATCAGCCCATCTCCACTTCCCAGTCTGTGGAATGGATATGTGCTTAAGAGAATGAGAGCTTTGTCTAAAGATGGACTGGTAATATTTATCTATGATTATGAGTGTTTGAATGAAGACAGACACAGATTTCAGAGGATAATTAGAACTGCAGAAAAAACAATTACTACCAACCTGCCTTCCACTGAGGACCTGTATACTGTACGAGTCAAAAAGAGGGCTGTGAAAATATTTACAGACCCCTCACATCCCGGACATAAACTGTTTCAACTCCTACCCTCATAACGACGCTATAGAGCACTGCATTCTAGAACAATTAGACATAAGAACAGTTTTTTCCCGAATGCCATCACTCTGCTAAACAAATAATTCCCTCAACAATGTCAAACTATTCACTAAGTCTGCATTACTATTACTATTAATCTTCTCATTGTTCCTATCACCCATCTCCTCCCACTTATGACTGCATGATTGTAACTTCATTGCTTGTATCCTTATGATTTATATAGATTGCTTCCTAGTATGATTTGATTGTTTATTTGTACCCTATGACTATCATTAAGTGTTGTACTTATGATTCTTGATGAATGTATCTTTTCTTTTTAAGTACACTGATAGCGTATGAACCTAAGACAAATTCCTTGTGTGTCCAATCACACTAGGCCAATAAAGAATTGTATTCTATTTAGTAGTGAAGTATTGAGCAGGAATCCATAGGATTTAGGCAAGTCAATACATGTTGTGCCACTCCTGGTAGTGATAAATAAGGACTGATGATCTTACCTGACGGACATCATGGAGTCCAATCCAGACATTACTGAATTCCCGTTGATAAGTGGAGACATGTTCAGCCACCAGGAGAGTCTCTGCTTTGGTAAGGATGGAGGCAAGGTGGGCTCCACGGCCATAGCTCTGGCACTCAATCTGAAGAAAGCCAAAAGGAATATGACTTCTGTGATCATTTCCCACAACACCAAGATCTGTGAAACTTCCCATGTGTTGAGTGAAGCTTCATAGAATTCCAAATCTGGTCAATCCTTGTTGCAATATGAATTGAAGGGATGTTTTTAAGTCTTATTGGGAGATGTTAACTTTACACGACAACTTGATCTAATCTTGCAGTTACAGTAAAGCCTCTTCCTTTCCACCTCCAACTTTAAGAGTATTTTTACTCAGAGTGTTGGTAAAGAATACATGTGGTTCAAATATAAGATGGTGGGGTATATATTATAGCTCAAAATCTGTAACAGAGACAATCCCATTCTATCCATCACCCTACATACTTTTTTTCCCTATATTTTCTATATAGTAGATGTTGATTGTGAGAAACACTTCTTACCTCAGCTTCATGCCATGTCAGCTTCTGATCAAAATATGCATAGCAGTTTCCTTGGTTTTGCAGCCATTCCCTGGCACAGGTGTCAGCCTCCACTGCATTGCAAGAGGGTGATGAAAAATAATATCAGAAGACAAAAGAACATGATGTCTATATAGAATTCTGGGAACAAAAGAAACATCTTGCTAGATTGGGATGCCTAATTCAACAATTTCCTCACCTGGTGGCCAACTAGGACCATTCAAGAGGATCCCTTGTATGAAAGAAATGTGTTGTGGCTCCGTCCTCCAAGCCTATCTTATCGGAGGAAGAAGGCTCCGAACATGAAGGAGAGGTGATGGCCAGGCCTCCCTCTCCAGGACGCTCCTCTCTGGCAATGCCTCAGGTGTCTCCCGAAGGAGAAGAGATTGGCCAGGAGCCAGGTATTTCCGAGCCGTCGGATAGTGACGAAGAAATATTGTGGTTGGACCCACGCCAGCGTCGGAGAGACAAGAGTGCGCAGCAGAAAAGGAGGCGTGTCAGAGATTAAGCTGAGTCACTGGACCACACCCCACAGGCTATAAAAGGGAGTGTGGTGGCCATTCGGACTCTGTGACGGACAAAGCTAATCTCTGGCAAGGCACTTTGCACCTTCGGACACAATGCCTAATTGCTGCGGATTTAATTACAAACTGGACTATTCAAACTGTGGGTATTTTTGTCTGTGTTATCGGAGTAAAAGTTCTTGGCAGGTAGCCACGGAGTTGCTGCCAAGTTCCTTATCACTGACATTGAGTGTTTGAAGAGTTTATTTAACCCTCGGCTGGCTGGCTGGTTGGGTGTGTGCGTGGTACGGGGACAGAACAAAAGGATTAGAGACCTATGTTTTTTTTCAGAGCTACTAGGGTTTAGTATGAGTTGGTCTCCACTGCATTTAAAGAGGCCCATGAAAAAGAAGAAGACAGAACATCATGCTAGATGTAATGGCTCCTGCAAATCAAGATTTTGTGACACTTGGTGGCAAACTAAGGACATTCAGGAAGATTCCATGTGTGAAGATGAGGCTGGAGACCTTTTCTATTACTTTTTCTATACAGCTAATGTTTGATATGGTGATATGCTACTTCTGTGATTCAGAAGTAGTAAACAGCGATCAGATCTAGCAGCCATGTTCATCCTGAATTTGATATTATCCTTTTTTAAAGCTAGCTACACCAGCAGTGGGATTCACATACCTTCCCTACCGGTTCACAAATGTGAGCACACAGCCTTCTGCGCAAATGCAGTACTCACGCATTACGTCCAGGTGGGTGGGCGGAGCTCCTACATTCGCCGCTACCAGTTCGCCCGATCCAGAGAGAACTGGCTGAATCCCACCACTGATCTACACTAGTGACTATTATCATCCTTGATGGCAATGAAGAAAGTGTCAAAATTAAGGCCTGCGAGCCGGAGGTGTCAAACTCAAGAGGTGTCAAACTCAAGGCCCGCCAGCTACATCTGGCCCACAGGTACTTAGATCTGGCCATGGGGCTGGCCTGGAAATAGCAAATGACTGGCCCTCCCAAACTTCAGTTTTGTTAGCAGGGGGGTACAGGAAGCTGTCTCAGCCAAAAATGGAGCTTGCAAGCCTGTTTTTGCTGGCAGAGCACTTGGGCCACAGGCACCCCCAACATGAGTGTGGTCAAGCTGCTATGACCCTCGGCCATTCCTTTCCTGCCCCCCATCCCCCGAGATCAAACACAACCCTGATACGGCCTTCAATGAAATCGAGTTTGATACCCCTGCTCTACATTAACCAAGGATATGTGACTTTTGCATTCCATTGAATTCTTCCTTGATTGCTTATTTTACCTTATGATGTTACTTGATCAGATCACACACAGTACATAAATATGTCCAAAGTGATATAAATTAATATGAAATAACTCCCAAACATGAAATGAGAAAAGAAATTTATCCTGATTTTTCTATTAAAGACTGATTGGGATGCTGCTTTTTAGTGATAAAATACATTTTAAATCTTTGATTCTAGAGACATTGCAAATTCATTACCTTGATATTGTCTCCGGGTCTGACAGGTAAAAATGGACTTGTGACAAATCTTGGAAATATTGGAATAGGTTTTTCAAATAAATTGTTTAGGTGGACATTCTTTTTTGATGCAAATGACCTTAGCCACAAGAGAAAACTCTTATACAAGAAAAAAGTTTCATACATTATGGAATTTCTTTTATTGTCTAAAAGAATGAGGATGAGGTATTGTAATACCCCAATGTAAACACCCTTTTATTTTTGAAGATTGATATAATAAGTAAATTCTTCTAGCTTCAGAGAACAATTAATTTCATTTTACTTTTGATGAATCTAGAATGACACATCCAATTCTAGTCTACATCTCTTGTCTTTTTTTAAATACTGATTCTGGCCCTCTCTAAGCTAGAACCAAGAGTGCCCCAGAAAGAAATAATATGCCTGGACCCTCCCCCCCCAAGACAAATTACAGAAGATCAAAAGAATCTCTCCATATGATGGAAATCAACCCCAGGGGGGTTAATACAACTTTGGCTAATGGTCCAGATATATTATGGAACATCATAATTTAGTGGTAGTCCATAAATATTAGATGCCAAAGTTCCCATGTTTAATTCCTGAAAGTGTAATGTTATAATTGTATCTTTGTCTAGAAATGTTTTGCTCAAAACTACCTACATCTAAATTTTTGTGAAGGGTTAGCATCACTTTAACATCTATTGGACACTTATAATTTAAGATGTATTCCAATATTATAAAAAAACCTAATGGGCATTAAAAGACAACCATACAATGGTACTGGAAAATATCAAAGGAATTACCTTGAAAGAAAGGACCAGCGAAGAAGATGCCAAGAAGACTGAAGCTGAAGTAAGTGAGGAGAGCCATCTTCTGGTTTACCTTCAAAGATAGAAAGGAACACTAAATACCAGAACTTCATTCTTTAATTGCCGTTCTTTGAAGAAAGGGAATGAGGAGAATATGTGTTTTGCTTGTTTAAATTGCACTTCTTATCCTGCTCTCCCCTTATTTGGATTCTGAAGAAGCTATATATTTGATATGGTACAGAACAAAATCTACTACAGTTATGTTTTAGCAAGTTCAAGGAAATTTTATTTTATTTTATTTTTATTTATTTTATTTATTTAATTTATATACTGCCCTACTCCCGAAGGACTCAGGGCGGTGAACAGTCAAACAGTAAAAACACATAAATACAAAATTTAAAAACAAAATAAAATCGAATTAAACAAATTTGGCCCAAGACATATTAAAGCCCCAATCATTTAAAAACCAATTTAAAATTTGCGTAATTAAAAAGAGGGAAAAGATTAGGCCAGGCCCGCCTGGTGGAATAAAAAGGTCTTAAGAGCGCGGCGGAAGGTGCGCAGATCCGGGATCCTCCGTATCTCCGAGGGGAGCTCGTTCCAGATAGTAGGTGCCCCCACAGCATGAAATCATGCTGATTTCAGTAGGTCGACTCTACATAGGGTAAACCTGAACCCATTGTCTATGGAGATTCTCAGTCATCCAGGTCATGGATGTCCCAAAGGTGTTTTTTCAGAAGGCAACTGGACTTTGTTTTTCCTTGAAGATGTTTCACTTCTCATCCAAGAAACTAGCTGAAGAAACGGGTTGGATGAGAAGCAAAATGTCTTCAAAGAAAAACAAAGTCCAGTTACCTTTTGAAAAAGCATTTTTGGGACAACCTGGACCAATTGATCCCAGCAGAACATTATGTACTTCAGATCTTGCCCCAGATCTCTCCTGAGTAATTTTTTAAATAAATTTTAGAGCAAAATCAGAGATTACAAACAAAATAATGGCTATGTCTCATATTATATATCAGGACAGTGATGTCACGAATATCAGTTTCTTTATTTTTTAAAAAATATATTTTTATTTACATATAAATATATTGAATACAGTGTAAAAGTCTTGGCATTCCACTTGCCATGAAACACAGGTAAAAACAAAATAACATATATACTATTTTAAACAGTGCTAGTGTTGTACCATCATATTCTAGAATGTTAACTTATCTTTCTAATATCTACATTCTAATACCTACATAGTATCTCTTTCCACCTAACCTGATTCTTTCGCATTCCAACTTTTACCTCGAGTTTCTAACCATTGATAGAATCTATTCCATGTAGCACAGTATTCTGTATCTATCTCCCTTATTTTTCATTTTTAGCGTTAGTCTATCCATTTCCACACAGGCTAGTATCTTCCTTATAGTCTCCTCCTCTGAATATTAGGAATATCAGTTTCTTTCTTAACCTGAGGAGAAGCTACAACTCATGTCAACTGCCAGAAATATGGACATATATTACAGAATATTTATTCGTATAGTCTTTGAAATGCACTGTAAATAAATATCATGAATTAAGAATCTGGCAATATTCCAGTGTTCTTATTCAAATGAAGTTTTGCATTTGATTTCTTATAAAGTCTCAGTTGCTTTTCTCTGTAAGACACTGAGAAGCAGATATTGTAACAAAACCAGGTTAATAAAACTTTTACTTGTTGTGAGAATATAATTTTTGTTCATAAAGATCTTATCACTGCTATGCTTGTTTGCCGTCCATATCTGGTTCTGCTACACTATAGCATGCATCTCTTCAGTCACTCACCTTGCGATGTTCTTCTCCTGGATGGGCAGAAGTGGTGGACAGCTGAGCTGGATCTCCCTCAGATGCTGTCTTGCTTTCTGAGGAACAGTTATATACAATCCAGGGACGCATGGTGCAACAATAATGACCTGAGTCCTTCAAGGAAATCCTGATCTGTCCTTTTCAATTTTGCATAAATAAAGGCCAAAGGGGCAGGAAGTAGTTCATGAACCCTATCATGTAGCACGGGAAAAGGGCATTATCTTTTATTTTAGACATGTAAATATTGCTAAAATAATCATTTGACAATATATCCTTAAAAGAGCTGTCAAATGAAGAATATCATTTGTTCATTTTATCATTCTATTGATGTTTAATTTCAGATATTAGCTTGGCCCCCAAGATTTCTCTAATCCACTGCAAGACCCTGTTTTTCTACAATGTACCTGGTTTAATATTTTCCACACAAGACTCCTTCTCCTTCTCCTTCTCCTTCTCCTTCTCCTTCTCCTTCTCCTTCTCCTTCTCCCTCTTCTTTTGAGTGTTGAGAACAACACTCAAAATGTCTAACGACAATGAAGATGATGGTGATATCCATTCAGTCTGACTCTTGGCAGTTCTATGGGCCACATCTTCTGATCTTATACTTGTAGGAAGTTAAAACCCACCCCTCTCCTAGAAAAATGAAATATTTTAAGAAACATTAAAAGGGCAGAATATTTCCCCTAAAAGGGAGGCAGAAACTCAGCCCCTCCACCGTTGTTAATGGGCACCATTGAGGCATGAGTCAGTCCATTCTACATGACCAAGATCTACCTCCTTCAGGCAGAGCCATTTAATTGCCCTTCATTGCATCACCCAACAAGATTCAACCAAACTTAACACACAGACAACCTAAAAAGCTAGCTATGACCTCTGACAGCAACCAATCAGGATACTCTTCCTGTGCCCCAGGAAGTTGAAAGCCAGAGAGGCCCAGGGACTCTCAGTATCTCAGTATCTCTTCCCTTTTTGGGGGGCCGAACCGGGAGGAACCCACCAATGGATTGGTCTTAGTTGTAAAGAAATTAGCTCAGCTTTTGTTTGGAAATCAGCTCAGATTCTTACTCTTGATAATTGTTTGTGAATTGATTGCCTCTGGCCATTTGCTTATATATGCATGAAAGTTGGACTCATTTTATATATTTGAGATAAGCTTGAAGAATTTACTTCAATGTGAAACTATTGTAGAAAGTTAGCATCCACCCGTCTCCTAGGAAAATGAAATATTTTAGGAAATATTAAAAGGGCAGAATATTTTCCCAAAAAGGGAGGCAGAAATTCAGCCTCCACCTTTGTTAATGGGCCATTAAGGCCTGAGCCAGTCCATTCTACATAATAAAGATAGGATTAGCCTCTACCCATCTAGCAACAGAACTCACCACACCGCACCTGGGGAGATTGCATCACCCAGCAAGGCTCAACCAAGCCTGGAACTCAAAAGACAACTTATAGAGTTACCCCTGCATGGCCCTATGGGAGTCTGACAACCAATTAGAATACAAGCTCAAATGCAAAGCCCAACAGAGGGCATAAAACTCTCAGCATCTCTGCCCCTTTTCTACTCAGGATCTCAAGCCATGTGAGCCATCAATAAACCTTCTTTCCAAGCAACTTCCATTAATCCAGTGTCTTCTTCCCCACTTGGAACTGAACCCAGAAGGATATTTCTTCCAACACTAGATGAACATAACCATTCAAGAGCCTGTACACTCTATATTTAGGTTTCCATGTGCTTAAAGATTCTACATCTGATTAGGAGGACAATATCAAAATACCATGGAGTGTCAGGAAGTATAGGCAAATACTTGGTAGTATTTGGGTTTAAGGCACCCTGTTATTAAGCTGCTTATTAAGACCAGCTGCCTGCAATTACTGCAGGGTTCGAATCTCGCCAAGGCTCAAGGTTGACTCAGCCTTCCATCCTTTCTAAGGTAGGTGAAATGAGGACCCAGTTTGTGGGGGCAATAAGCTGACTTTGTATAAATATACAAAAGGATGAAGGCTATTGCTGAGCACATTGTAAGCCGCCCTGAGTCTTCGGAGAAGGGCGGCATATAAATCAAATTTAAAAAATAATAATAATAAAAAAATAAAATAAAATGAAGGTTGGACTCCACAGAGAAACATTCAGCATCTTCTTGTGAATAAAGGATTGTTCATGAATAGGATGAAGTTTCTCCAGATAACTATGCTCACCTGCTATTGGAATCTGGATATTTATTTTATTTTATTTATTTTGTCGAGTACATATTAGATAATATAAGTATAAGCATGAATTGAATACATAAAATGAATACAATTAAAGGGAACATTAGGACAGGGATGGTAGGCACGCTGGTGCTCTTATGCAAGCCCCTTACAGATCTCTTAGGAATGGGGTGAGATCAACAGTAGACAGTCTTAGGTTAAAATTTTGGGGGTTTGGAGATGAAACCACAGTCAGGTAGTGCATTCCAGGTATTGACCACTCTGTTGCTGAAGTGATATTGTCTGCAATCGAGTTTGGAGTGGTTCCCTTTAAGTTTGTATCTATTGTGTGCTCGTGTATTGCTGTGGTTGAAGCTGAAGTAGCCATTGACAGGTAGGACATTGTAGCAGATGATTTTGTGAGCTACGCTTACCTAAGGCAGCATAGTTCTAAATTTTCTAAGCCCAAAATTTCAAGTCTGGTGGCATAAGGTATTTTGTTGCCAGCAGAGGAGTGGAGGACTCTTCTTGTGAAATATTTCTGGACTCGTTCAATTGTATTAATGTCTGATATGCAGTTCGGGTTCCAGACATAAGAATAAGATGTATTCAAGAACTGGTCTAGCAAATGTTTTGTATGCTTTAGTTAGTAGTGTAATATTACCTGAGAAGAAGCTATGCAAGATTAGGTTTACTTGATGTCTTTTTAGCGATGTTGTTACAGTGGGCTTTGGCACTTAGATCATTTGATATGAGTACTCCAAGGTCCTTGACAGAGTGAGTTCTAGAAACTCTAGTTTGACAATTCTGTCTAACTCAGCTTCTAAACTAACTCAACTTTTTGATCAACAAAGGTATTTTTTTTGGATTTCCGGTATTTGAATTCTGGATTTTCTCTGTAGCCCATTTGAACTCTGATTGCAACTCTGATTAAACCAGGTTTGGTTTGTTGTTTATTGAAACTGCCTTGCAGACTGTGGCTTGTTTCTTGATTCTTCTTCCATTCCAATGGAGTTTTCTGTTCATTGCCTAGAGAATGCTATAGCAGAACAGAAACCCAGGCCAGATTTCATATCTGACGGTCCATAATGGTCACGGCCTGTGATAGAGTAGGTAGAAGATTATGTATAAATTCAGTAATTAAGCAACCAGCTTCCCCCAGTTTTAAGATTTACATAAATCAGCCTTGATGGTATCTCTAGGACCATGATGGTGAACCTATGGCATGTGTGCCACAGGTGGCATGCAGCACCCTCGCTGTGGGCACGTGAGCCATTGCCCCAATTCAGCTCATCCATGCATGCGCACCCGTGCCTTCAGCCAGCCAGCTGGTCATCTCTGTTGTGCATGCATGGGGAGCGGGGCACACATGCATGTTTGGGGAGATGAGGTGCATGTGTGGGGCTACACACACATTGTATTTTGGGGGTTTGGGCACGCACATGCCCATTCACGCGCATTTGCACGGAAAAGGTTATCCATCACTGTCCTAGGATAAAAACAATCCTTCCACAAGAATTCAGCTATTTCATGTGTTATGTGGGCAGCCAGTACATAGTTTTTACTCATTCCCTTCCCTGAATTTTCCAACATCTGTGGCAGTGGTAGGTTGCCTCCGGTTCAGACCGGTTTTCAAGAACCGATAATAAAACTGGCAGGAAGCCCTGCCCACTGCCCCGGATGTCATCCTCGGCGATCTGTGCATGCACGATCCCATTGTGAACCGGTAGTAAAGGTAAGGGCCTGGTGGCTCAGCAGACTGATAGCATTGTGATTAACACCAGCTGCCTGCAATTACTGTAAGTTCGAATCTCACCAGGCTCAAGGTTGACTCAGCCTTCCATTCTTTCTAAGGTGGGTAAATTGAGGACCCAGTTTGTGGGAGCAATAAGCTGACTTTGTATAAAATATACAAAAGTATGAAGGCTATTGCTCAACGCATTGTAAGCCGCCCTGAGTCTCCGGAGAAGGGTGGCATATAAATCAAAATAAAAATAATAATAAAAAAAGTAGAACCCACCTCTGATCTGTGGATATTATTAAAGATATCCAACTTATGAACAGAGATTAGTGGTGCAAAGATTCTTACCCAGTGTTGTACACTGAAAAATAATCACAAAAGCTGAAACTTCCATTTTTTTAAATAGTTCGTGATAAGGTGTCGAAGGGATTTCCCTCCAGGCTTATACATTTCCTGGTGGCCTTCAAGAGTGAGCTGAAAGGGGGAACAATGATACAACTCAAGAATGATATTTGCATGCATACATAGTATTTTACTACTCTCTCTTCAGATTATCGACCACCTTAATTTTTGCACTATAATGGAAGACCAGAAGTTGCATAAATGGTATGAGTCATAGTCAGCTGCAAATCAAAACCTCTCAATGTATCTTTTCCTTCAACTTCCTTTTCATCACGTTATTTTGCCTTTGGTTTTTTTATATAGCACTTTTCTTTTTATTTTCAAAAGACTTTTCATCTAAAAAAAGAATCTATTGAGCCCCAAAGAAACCGCCAATGTTTAGTTCAGAGCTATTCAGTTCTTTGATTTTAAAATAAAGAGCACAAAGATAAATTATTTTTAGATAAATGAATGGTTTATTGGATAGATAAATTTAGAAGACCATCTGTACGGTGAGTCACTCTTGGGAACGGTGCCATCACATCTGCATTGTTGTTAAGTTGCCTGCAAAACTGGGAAAGAGGACTTGCCTCAAAATAGCTGTTTATGGAGATTCTCAGTCATCTAAGACATGGTTGTTCCAAAGGTGCTTTTTCAAGAAGCAACTGGACTTTCTGATTTTAATTTGAAGATGTTTCACTTCTCATCCAAGAAGCTTCTTCAACTCAAAATACCTGATTGCACCACTAATAATAAAGTTTTCTTTGTCCATCTAAGAAAA